TGGAGGAGAAGGGATTTCGGCGTGGCCATCCTCCCTGGGGGGTGATTTCTCACTTTCTGTCTCTCTGTCTCTCTCTGTCTGGCGAGCGCATGCGCCCTATAGCAAAAACCTTTCCAAAAAAAAAAAAAAGTACATACGCAGAATAGAAGGAAATTTGTCAAAAATTTTAACTCTAGGTGTTGGAATTTGGGATTTTTATCATTATTTTCACCTTCGTATTAGTAGTTGTGAATATTTTCTAAATACGCAACAATGGGTGTCTATTATATGCATAATTACAAAGCATTTTAATAAGTTATGTAGCATAGTCTATTATAATTACCTCTAACATCTTTTTATAATTATCCATTTACTTTATTATTATTATTATTTAATTTGCATGTGTGCTCACCAGAGTGAGAGAGAAGTGAGAAAGCAAGACACCAGGTCTGGTCCTCAAACCACAGTCGGCCATGTGGGAGTCCAGAACCTTAACTACCATGCCACCTGCTGGCCCCAATCCCTAAACTCTTAGTAGAAAATTTCTAGATATACAAAGAAAAAACTTAGTTATTTATTAGGTTGTCAGAAAAGTCACGATGCATTTTTGTATCAAAAAGAAAGAACTGGGACCAGCAGTTGTTGTAATGACTATGTCGCTGAACTCCCACATAGTAGACCGGGGTTCAAACACCCGACCCGGTGGCTTAAACTCATACCGGGAACATGTGCGTGTGTGGCCAAAATCCTGAGAGAAGAATGAAGGAGAAGGGATTGCAGTGTGGCCGTCCCCCTGGGGGGTGATTTCTTGCTTTCTGTCTCTCTTTCTGGTGAGCGCACACGTCCTATAGCAAAAAATAATAATAATAAATAAAAAAAAAATAAGTCCTGACTTTTCTGGCAACCCAGTAGTTTGTTGTTTGTTTGCTAGAAGGCCCATGAGCTCAGTGGAGTGAAAGTGCACCTCCCAGTGGGGAATGGTCACATTGTAATCCTTTTTCCTCCATCCCTCTATTCCATAGAACTTTGAGTACACATGTATACGCACCCAGGGTGTTCTCCAAGCCACGGGGGGCTGGGATTCAAACTGGTTAGCCATGTGGCACGCTGCTCCCTCTGCCTAGCACTTAGTGGCTGTGCCATGGGGCCAGCCCAGTAATATAAATGTAAATTGGACAGTTTCACTCCCATGAACTGGAGTCCCATTTCTAACCAAGACACGTGCCCAAACTCTCATGTTCCAAATCACGTTCCAAAACCACCACAGGAGAAAAATCCTCACTGATGGAGAATGAGCTGCTTTTTGCATAGAAGCAATCAGAATAGGATGCAGCTGGCTCCAGCGGAACCGTCTTAAAGCTGTCTCCACAGTAAGGCACCACATTCAGGTCCATTCCACAGGGATGTCTTTGGGGAAATAGTGCATTTCTTGATATGACTTCTGGATTTATAGGTATACTAACTTCATACCTCTAAAATTGAGGGAACCAGCAGTTAGCGTAATGGCTATGTCGCTGGATTCCCACTTAGTCGACCGCGATTTGCGTCCCGGACCCGGTGGCTTAAAACTCACGCCGGGCGCGTGTGCGTGTGTGCCTAAGATCCCAAGAAGAGAATGGAGAAGAAGGGACTGCGGTGTGACCATCCCCCGGGGGGTGATTTCTCGCTTTCTGTCTCTATGTCTCTCTCTGCCTGTCTGGCGAGCGCACGTGCCCTATAGCGAAAAAACCTCTCCAAAAAAAAAAAAAATATTGAAAGCTAACTCGTACCTATTAACACAAACATTTCGGCAAGTCTGTTAAAGCCTAGCGCAGGCCTTATCTGAAATGAATCTGGCTTTCTGAACTCCTTAAACTCTGACAGTTCTTAAGACTCAAATGTCAAGAGCTGTTAAAAGTTTTAAAAAGGGCTCAACTTTTCAGTGAAAAGAAACAAATACTAAACACAAATTTTAGTCCCTAGAGACAAAAGCAGTGGTTTTTAGAAAGGCTAACAGCACAGGGTACAGAGCTCCAAAACGCCAAGGAGAGCGTGAGGAGTCATCTGCAAACACTCCTTCGTAAGGCTCCGTGCAAGAGGGGAGCCATCAACGTTCCATGGAGAAGCACCACCCTGTGCAAAGGGGCTAGCTTTCATTCCAGGACAAGGCCATGCTCCGTCTGGAACAGACGCCTGCGACTGGTCATTTATACAGAGAAGAAATTTACTTCCTCACAATTCTAGAGGCTGGGAATCCAAGAACAAGGTGCTGGCATCCATTCAGGGCCTCCCTGCTGTCATCCCAAGGTGGGAGGCAGAAGGTCAAGAGAGAGCAAGAGGGGGCCAACGCATTGTTCCTAAGGAACCCGCTTCCGCGACGAGCCCTCGGCCCAAGGACAGCGTGACCGCATTCTGCAGGCACCGCCTTTACGTTAAAGGTCTCACCTTCCAAAACCTGCACACTGGCGATCGCACGGTCTCCATACATGAGCTCGGGAGGACACATTCCAACCACAGTGGACGGGCTTTCAAACACCATCCTCAATAAGCTTTCGGAACTAAAAGTTACAGTCAGACAACTTCAGACAGCTCTTAAACACTTAACTCTTAATTAAAATGAAAATTAATTCAGTTGGAAAACATGAAGTCATTCGTTTTCTCACCATATCTCACCTGCGTCCGTTATTTTACTAAGAACACTTCAGTTCCCTGCCATAAAGAGCAGACCAGACATGACGTTGTCACAGGCGTACCTTAGGGGTGTCCTCAAGCAGGTCAATGAGTGTGCTGACCTTGACCACGCCGGTGCTCCCGGGGTCTAGTGCCCCCAACAGCTCTTTGAACTCGGAGTCACTTAGCTTTACGGCCATGCGGCTCAGTATATGCCACAGCTCTTCCCTGGTTACCTCTCCATCGGATTTCTGCGCGTCGGAGTGCATGTAAGGGAATTCAGGGAAAGAAAAAAGGAAGGAAATGTATTATATAACAGCCTCATGGAATAAACGGAAAGCTTTGACCAAACAGAACAGTCACGTGGGACCAGCAGTTAGCGTAATGGCTATATCACTGGACTCCCATGAAGTTGACTGAGGTTTGAGTCCTGGACCCGGTGCCTTAAACTCATGCCAGACTTATGTGTGTGCATGCCCAAGATCCCAAGAGGAGAATGGAGGAGAAGGGATTGCGGCATGGCCATCCCCCCAGGGGGTGATTTCTCGCTTTCTGTCTCTCTCTGTCTCTCTGTCTGTCTGGCGAGCACACATGCCCTATAGCGAAAACCTCTCCAAAAAAAGAAAAAAAAAAAAAAGAACAATCATGTAAAATGAGAATGCTCGGTCTATGACCCTTACATGTAACACGTGCCAAGAGTAGTGACAGTAGGGATGCTAGAACTTGCTACATGCAGCCCCTATGACATTCTCTACTGGGACATGGGCAGGAGCTGGCCCCAAGTGAGGAAGGAGGCCTTTTTCTCAGGCATGGGCCGCCCTTGGGCAGGATGCCCCCTCTCGGGGGGCCGGGCAGCTTGCCCTTACTCAACCCCACCTGAAGGCCGGGTAGTTTAGGCACACACGGCACAAAACTTCCCGGCAGTTCAATTAGGGCTTGTCAGTTTCCAAAGAATATTAACTATGCTTGTTTTCACGACCACCAGCATTATCAATTACATAATGGACAATTACTTAGCAAGAAAAATTTCAGCCATGCTGCATAAAGAAAGCAGCCGACTAGCAAAACACTGCAAGGCAAGTTTCTTCTTCAAGAATAAAAAATTATCAACGAGTAAATTAAACATTAAAATCAAGAGATACTGTTTACTGGAAAGGGGAAATAAAGAACTCCTTTTTCATAGGGGGAATTGTGAATATTAATGCAACATAAGGATTTATTAAGTGATAAAACAGTGTACAAACGTCAGCTATTATTTTGGGGTCCCAAATCTGAAAATGATAAAAGGTTCTCTTGGGGTAAATTGCGCACTTCAGGGGATACACACATGCTTGTGTTCGGTTTGGGACAGATCATAAATTTTTTATATCTGAACAGGAATCCCTGATGAGTTACTTTTTAAATTTTTAAAATAAATGTACAGCACTGTGTAACCGTCACCACTATGCAAGCCTGGAACATTTTCATCACCCACAAAGGACACCTCGTGAGCGCTGGTAGTCACTTCCCACTTCCATCTCCACCTAAGGCAATCGCTCCAGCTTCTCTCTAGGAATCTGCCTTTTCTGTGCATTTCCTGTAAGTTGAATCACATGATGATCAGGTCCCCTGCACCTGGCTTCTTTCTGTTAGCGGTGCTGGGGGCTTGTCCATGTTGCAGCATGTGTTGGTATTTTGCTCCCTTTTACTTCTGGTTAGTGTCATATTCATGGCTCTACCACTCTTTGTTTACCTTGTCATGAGTTGATGAACATTGGATCTTTTCCAGTTTGGAAATTGTAAACAATGTTGTTATGAACATTTGCACACAAGTCTTTGTGTGAACAGATGTTTTCATTTCTCTTGGGCAGTTACCTAGGGGTGGAATTGCTGAGTCATATGGTACGTTGTTTACTGTTTTTACAAACTGCCACGCTACCTTCCCCAGCAGCTGTGCCATTCCACATTCCACCAGCAGTGTCTGGGAGTTCCAGTATCTCCATATCCTCGCCAGTAACTATTGTCTGTCTTTTGACCATAGCCATCCTAGTGGGTGAGAAAAGGTATCTCATTGTGGTTTTGATTTGTGTTTCTCTAATAACTAATGATGTCAGGCATCTCTTCATGTGTTTATTGGCTGTTTGTATATCTTCTTTGGTGAAATGCCTATTAAGATCTTCTGTGTATATTTGAAATTAGGTTGTCTTCTCATTGAGTTCTAAGAATTCTTATAGGAGGGGACCTTGTGGGAAACTGTAATTAAAGTATGAATTTATTTTGGTGCAAAAAAATTGATATTGGGACCAGCAGTTAGCATAATGGTTATGTCGCTGAACTCCCATGTAGTCAACCACAGTTCAAGTCCTGGACCCTGTGGCTTAAACTCACGCCAGATGCATGTGCGTGCGTGCCCAAGATCCTGAGAGGAGAATGGAGGAGAAGGGATTGTGGCGTGGCCATCCCCCCGGGGGGTTATTTCTTGCTTTCTGTCTCTCTGTCTCTCTGGTGAGTGCACACGCCCTATAGCAAAACTTCTCCAAAAAAAAAAAAAATTTATATTCAGAGGCCACACAAGTGTGGTGGTTAAAGTGGCTGGATCTCACATGGCCAACTGCACAGTTTGATTACTCCACTGGGGGCCTGAAATACACGTGTATGTGTGTGTGTGTGTGTGTGTGTGTGTATGTGTGTAGGAGGGCCCAAAATCCTGAGAGGTGAATGGAGGAGGAGGGGTTGTGGGTGTGGTCAACATTCCTGGGGGAGTGCTTTCTTATTTCCCCCTCTCTGCCTATCTCTCTCTAGTGAGCACACATGCCTTATAGCAAAATTTTTAAATAAATAAATATTTGAAGTGATGTAGCTTTTTATCATACGCGTTCTCCATGAACACCCCTTGTATACTCTAGACATGGTCCTTTATTGGATATATGGCTTGCATACGTTTTCTCCCAGTCTCTATGTCATCTTTTCAATTTCTTAATGGTTTCTTTTGAAGCATGAAAGTTTTTAATTTTGATTAAGGTCCAGTGTACTGATTTTTTTCTTTTATGGATCATACTTTTGGTATCACATCTAGAAATGTTTGCCTGACATGAGGTCACAGAAATTTATACATCTATTTTTCTTCTGGTTTTATCATTTTAGCTCTTACATTTAGTTCTATCTATGAATGGTGCAAGATAGGGGTCTAAATTAATCTTTTTGCATAAAGATATCTAATTGTCTCAGCGCCACTTTTGAAAATATTATCCTTTTCCACACTGAATGTGTCACAAAGGAACTGCCCAGGACTCTCTGTTCCACTGACCTAGGCCCGTTCTTAGGCCAGCACCACACAGTAGTTACTGTAGCTTCATGTCAACATTAAAGCACGGTGTTTAAGTTCCCTAGCTCTGTTCTTCTTTTCCAAGATTGCTTGATTATCCTGTAGCCTTTGTACTTCGACATAAGTTTCAAGGTCTGTTTTTGTTTGTTTGTTTGTTTGTTTTTAACTGTGAAAAGGAAAAAAGCTAGCTGAGATTTGAAAGGGTTTGCATTGAGTCTTTAGGTCAGTTTGGAGAGAATGGCCACCTTAATAATGCTGTCTTCCAGTCCATGAATATGGAATGCCTCTTCATTTATTTATGTCTCCTTTAATTTCTTTTAACAATGTTTTGTAATTTTCAATGCACAAGTTTGGAACTTCTTTTGTTCAGTTTATTCCTAGGTGTTTTATTCATTTTGATGCTATTGTGAATGAAATTGCTATTTGAAGTTCATTTTTAGATTGTTCATTGCTAGTTTACAGAAATATTTTATAAGCTTTTGTGAAGGATCAATACTATTTTGTAAGCAATCTCTGTAGTCTTCAATGTAGAGAATTTGAACATTTTTGTTAGACGCAAAAGACTTCAAAAAGTTCTTGGAGAAAATGGAATTGAAATATCAGATTATTTTGGTGTACCAAAAAACGAAATCCATGCATACATTTTTTAAAATATATTTTCCATGAAATTTTTGAAGATCCACCATGTATTTCCAGGTATTTGAGTTCCAAATTTCGTTAGAAATGATGTTTTCATAGTTTCGTGCACTGATCTCATGTCCTGCAACCTGATGCACTCATTTCTCAGCTCCGTCAGTGTGCCGGCCTGTACCTCCACACGAACACACGCGTTCCTTAGGGTCTTCCACACGAGAGCATGTTGACTAGCACTAACGACAGTTTTACTTCCTCTTTTCCAGTCTACATGGCGCTTTTCCCTTCCTTTCGTTTCCTGAATGGACAGTCTGAAATCCCAATGCAATGCTGAATACAATAGCCACACTTGATATTCCTGTGTTATTTCTGATCTCAGGGGAAACCATTTAGTCTTCTACCATTAACTATGCTGTTGGCTATGGGTTTATTGAAAATGCCTGTCACGAGAGTAAGGAAGTTCTCTCTATTACCAGTTTGCTGAAAGTTTTATCATGATGAGACCAGCAGTTAGCATAATGGCTATGTCACTGGACTCGCAAGTAGTCCACCGCGGTTCGTGTCCCAGACCCGGTGGCTTAAAACTCAAACCGGGCGTGTGTGCGTGCGTGCCCAAGATCCCGAGAGGAGAATGGAGGAGAAGGGATTGCGGCGTGGCCATCACCCCTGGGGGGGGGTGATTTCTCGCTTTCTATCTCTCTTTCTCTTTCTGGCGAGCGCACGCGCTCTATAGCAAAAATCTCTCCAAAAAAAGAAAAAAAAAGTTTTATCATGAGCAGGTACCCATTTTTTCAAATACTTTTCCTGCATCCACTGAGATGTCCATGCAGTATTCTCCTTAATTCTATTAACGTTGTACATTTTATTAAATGATTTTATGGGAAGCTAAATCTACCTTGCAATCCTTTGATAAATCCCATTGGCCACAGCATGTAATTGTTTTATATGTTGCTGGATTTGGTTTGCTGATACTGTGTTGAGAATTTTTGCAACTGTAGTCATAAAGAACTTCAGTCTGTGATGTTCTTTTCCTGTGATGCCTTTGTAATTAGGCTGGTCTTGGTATGAGTTGGGAAGTGTTCCTTCCTCCTATATTTAATGCAAGACTGGAAGGGTTGGTATTACTAATTAAGTGGTATTATGTAATATAACATTACCTTTGTAGTCTTCAATGTAGAGAATGTGTACATTTTTGTTAGGTATACTTCTAGGTATTTGACTTTTTAATCACACTAGAAACTGCACTTTTAAAATTCTTTTTAAAATTGATTGCAGTTTATAGCACTATTATTGGTCTTTGCATATTAATTTTGTATCCAAAAACCACCTAAATTCTATTAATTAATTCTAATGTTTTCTGGAAAGATTCTAATTTTCTGTTAACAAAATCATGTCACATGCAAACAATAACCCCTAAAATAAGAGCGGGTGACCAGACAGGTTCCCCATTGTGTCTAGGTGACAGGGAGTGAGCCACACCTTTAAATGCATGTCACCATGACGACGGGCCTTCTCTGAGATGGCGGCTGTGTCTGGAGGCAACACGTGCAGGAACAGGGTGCACGACTCGGGGCAGCTCTACAGCATCTTCCCTCTGTCCATCCGGACCTCTCTCCCGAGCAGGAGCGGGACCTGTTTCCCAGGCTGCTCCTGTAGCCAGGCAGTAGCCTTGCCCGCCCGGCTCTCTCTGCTCTCCGCTTTCTGTTCCTCCTTCTAAGACAGGCTTTCACCATGCTGTGACCCCCTGCCTCGGCCCCTGAGAGCGGACCACAAGCTCATTCTATGGAGCTGCCCCTGCTGGGACAGCTCTCCCTGTCCAGCCCTTCCGCGGCCTAGGGCATGGTCAGGACGAAGGCACATGGAGGGGGTGGTGGTGGTGAGAAGTCCCACTCTGAAACCATGCCCTGTGCAACACGAGGGCATTTGATTGTCACTGCCTTAATGTGACACTCAGAGGACTCAGGGTATGAGCTCATACTAACAGGGACTTTGTAGCACCCAGCTAAGCATTTAGCCTAAGTGCCCAGCGAGGGGCCTAGCTGAAGGTCCTCCATTCTTCTCCTTCATGGGTGCGTACTGATCTCTAGTTGAACCATACAGCAGTGACTTCAAAACAGCCTAATTTTGGAGTGGTTAGCCTTATTGCAGTCCTCCATTAGGAAATGAAGACTTCACTGTTCTTAATTAAATCACGTCTTCAATATGCTAATAGATCCCAAGGTGAGTAAACAGACCAAGGTCCTCATTTTTCTCACTGGGGTTCTCCTGGCAGCTCCACCTAGGGCTGGATGCAGCTGCTTTGGAGCCAGGAGGCCCAGTTTGAATCCTGCTCCCTCCCACTAACTACGTGGCCTCAGGCTGGTTACTCAGCTCCCCCCAGGCTCCTTTTCTTCTCCCATCAAATGGAGGTATTGAGAAAATTCAGTGAGTGGACATGAGGGAGTTTCAAAAAGTTCACGAAAAAATAGAATTAAAGTACAAATTAATTTTGTTACAAAAAATTCTAAAATAATAGTTTTTGCATAATATGCATTTTCCATAAACTTCCTGAAGACCACACACACACACACACACACACACACACACACACACGTGACTCACTTAAGACAGTGCCTGGCACATAGAAATCACTCAATGGTATTGTTCATTCAGAGAAACCAAGCCATATAAGCCAATGGTAATTAAGACAGGTTTCTCTCCCTGTACGCAGAAACCCACATCCAACCCACGCTGTGCTTGGAGAGCCCAGGTGCAGGCTCCTAGATTGGCAGAGGCAGGGCCTGTCTCCGGCATCTTGGGCCGACTCGGACAGGGTGCTCCTCTGCAGGACGCTCCTCTGCAGGACGCTCCCGGACTGTGAGCCCTCCTCTCCGTCGGCAGGCTGTGCTGAGCCTGAGGACCCCTCTCAGCCTGGACTCTGCTGTCCACAGTCCTACCTGAGTCTAAGGAAAGCCACTGCCCACTCCTCACTGTCTCCTAGTGTCAGTTAGCAAATGCGCGCAGCAGATAAGAAAGTCGAGCAGTCTCTGGGTGCGAGACGTACTCAAGGGCTGCTTTCCGAGATAAACACGGACGGAAGCAGAGCTGATGTGCAAAGCAAACGAAAGCCCATGGCAGGCTCCTGAGCGGGCCGCCCTTTGCAGGGCAATTCAAAATCAAACAGGCTCTTTCAGAACTAAGAAGATGTGCCATGGGCAACAGGTTGGTTGTGAACCAGTGAAGTCTGAACTAGGGTGGGAAGGGTTCGCTGGGTCCGGGTGCTGTGTGACTCACACGGTTAAGGAAGGCTAGTCCCGCCATTCCTGACCGTGCTCCTGACCCAGCTGCACTTCCTGTGACAGCCTCTGCCCTCCCTCCTACCCACGAGACTCACGGCAGTTCCCAAGCACACGCAGGAGCTCAGAGCTGACAGCGGGACGGGTCAACAAGTACACCCAGAGTTTTACTGGCCTTGGCCTGATTGTGAGCATTCTTAGAAACAGTGTGTTTTTCACGGAGAAGGGTTTCAAAATCTTACAGTGTTGATTAATAGTAACGCTTTCTTCAACGATATATAGCGGTCTCCAGCATGTTTCAATAGCTTTGTGAGAAAATCTTCCTTGTGCGATTGATTTCTACAGTCGATGCTGTAAGAGGATTAAAAACAAAACACAGGACCGTTATGTCTTGAGCTTAGCTCTTTCCTAATGCAGAATCAAGTGCCCTCCAGCGATTGCAGCGCTGTCCTGCGGGCAGCTCTGCCTGAGAGCGTCAAGTACTGCGGGGCCTACCAGCCACTGGGAAGTGTGGCATGTATTTATTTTTTAATTTTTAATAATTTTTAAAATTATTTTATTTTTAAACTTTTATTTATTTATTTATTTATTTATTTAAGTTTGACCGGAGAGGGACAGAGAGAGAGAGGGAGGGAAAGTGAGAAAGCAAGCCACCAGATACGGGACTCGAACCTTGGTCGGCCATGTGGGAGTCCAGCGCCCTTAGCTGCCACGCCACCTGCCGGCCCCAATTTATTTATTTTTAGTTTTAGTTTTTCAGAGGATTTTATTTTAGGGCACGTACACTCGCCAGAGAGAGAGAGACAGAGAGAGTGACGGGGAAAGTGAGTAATCACCTCCTGGGGGGATGGCCACACCACCATCCTTTCTCCTCCACTCTTCCCAGGATCTTGGGCACGTACGCACATGTGCCCGGCATGAGTTTCACGCCACCAGGTCTGGGATTCCGACCACAGTTGGTAATTTGGGCGCCCAGTGACATAACCACTATACCATCTGCTGGCCCCAAGTGTGGCAACTCCCACGGGCTGAACCATCGACCTCCCTCTCCGCCTCCCATGCTCACACACTCCGGGCAGCCATTCGCACATGTGTGATTATGACCCCTCTGTGGCCACCGGAGCACGCACACCCACATGGGACCTGATGGCCAGGTCCAGACTTGAAACTGAGAGGCCGTGGGCCATCACAGCCTCTCCCTTTCCTCTCACAATGACCATGGCCGCTGTCATCAGACCCTTCTGTCCTACAGGCTCTGAGCTCAGGGTCTTTCAGTCCACGTGTGGCTCTCAAAAGCCACAGTCACCCACTGTGGAGATCAAAACTGACTTCCATGTAGACTCTGATCATTAAGGGAGACCCCGTCAGACTCAGGGAGTGAAGTACTGTTGTTGCCTCCCTTTCTCACTGCTCAGGCCCACCCCCCACTAAGGAACGCACCAGAGTCCCGGCTTCCTGCAGAGCCGTTCTCATATTCCTCGGGGAGTGTCTGTGCTGTGTCCATACAGTCACCTGAGCTCTTTCCGGTTGTGCAAAAACCGAACACACACTACCGCTACTTTTCAGAGCCTGGATCCCTCAGGTGACTCATGGGAGCCTCATTTTATAAAGATCACTAGCAATGGCAGGAATGGACAGTTTTTTAGATAATTATTTTATTTTAATTTTATTAATCATCATTATTATTTTTTCAGTTTGACCATAGAGCAATAGAGAAAGAGAGAGAGAAAGTGAGAAAGCAAGCCACCAAGTCCAGGACTTGAACTGTGGTCAGCCATGTGGGAGTCCAGTGCCTTAACCACTATAACACCTGCTGGCCCCAGGAATGGACACTTTTTTTTACTTTTTTTTTTTTTGGAGAGATTTTCGCTATAGGGCGCATGCGCTCGCCAGACAGACGGAGACATAGAGACAGAAAGCGAGAAATCACCCCCCAGGGGGGGATGGTCACGCCGCAATCCCTTCTCCTCCATTCTCTTCTCGGGATCTTGGGCACGCACGCACACGCACACGCACCCGGCGTGAGTTCTAAGCCACCAGGTCCAGGACGCGAACCGCGGTCGACTACATGGGAGTCCAGCAACACAGCCATTACGCTAACTGCTGTTTCCCAGGAATGGACACTTTTTACCAAAAATTTGATCCACCAAGTGCCGCTGAGGCGGAACTGGAGAGACCTCTTTGTTGTGCGGGACTCATTCCAGGGGGTGTAGCAGCACCTGGCCTCTGCCCACTACGTATTGGGGCACTCCCACCCCAGAGCCGACAACCCAAAACATCTGACATTGCCACAAGTCTCTGGGGAGGTAAGACCGCTGCAGTCAAGAACCATCGTTTTAAAGTAAATAAAATCTTAATTGCCATTCTGATAGCCCTAGGCAAGGTACTATCAGATAAAATTATAAAGAAACCAAAGTAACTGCACTTAAGAAAGGAAAACACAGAGCTACAGCCCAGGAGCAGGAAGGGAGGGGCCCCGGGTCCCGGAAGGCTGGTAATGGGGCAGTTTATTCAACATTCCTGGTCCCCGAGGTGGGCAGGACCAGTGAGATGAGACCAGACCCTGCAGTATCTTTTCCTTTATGACAGAGCATGCCATTTTCCATGGATGTGCCAAGGTTAGAAAGCCCGTTTCCTAAATGAGTCATACAGGGCGATCAAGACAGGCTGCACATCAATATCACAAATACTTCTAAAAGTCTACGTTCTAAAATGTCTTACAAGGAATTTTTGTTTTACATTTTTGGGCCCCCACCATAATTTGTGAGGTGATGTAAATCTGAAGTTATAATAGACATAGAATGAAAAGAGAAATAACGATGCCCGAGGTCATCATCCCCATGACCTGCCATCAGCAAGTCAAGGCATGTTGTTCCTACCCACGGAGCGCTCGCCAACACCGTCCACACACAATTTGACCACAGCAGCAGTGGCTGTGCGCGCGCCTAGAGCCTCTGAGTCTCCACTGCTGCCTCCACCAGGCGCTGAGCATGTGACCGAGTTCAGACCTCTTATGGTCTTATTTTCTTCATCTAGAACTTGGAATAGGAACCATACTGACCTTACAGTTTAAGGCAATTTTAAGTTCTAAAGTGTATTAAAAAAAATAAATACTTTATAAATGACTAAACAGTGATTATTCAATGATGTCTAACTAGTCATTCGGCAAATGAAGAAAAAGCAAATCAGATCATCTCTTAGCTAGGTATAACTAAAATTAATTCCTTTTTCTTTTTTTTTTAACTTACCTATTTCTTTTTGTTGGGGGAACAAGAATGCTAACTTCCAACTCCCGAGGCTCATGAAAAGATGTTAAAAATTGCTTCCAATTGATTTTAGCAGTAGTTTTAAGACCAAATCTGGATTTAAAGGAAAAACAAAAATATTATTGTAAACATTTTTTTACAACATTGCACAGATCAGATGCTTGCTATTGGATTGAAAATGGAAGCAATGAATTTATATGAAGTTTCAACTCTCAGGTAAACAAAGTAATTTAGTAAAATAGTACCATAAATTGATTATTTTAAAAGCAAAGAAAAACATCAAATGGATTGCGTACATCTCCACGTCTCTATTCTGTGAGTGGCAGCGTACGCTGAAGGAAGGCACAGAGGGATTTGATTGAAATTCTAATGTTCACGAAGAAATTCTTTCAAATTCATTCAGCATTTGCAGACCTCGATGATGGTGCTGGGCAGACCGGTGGTCCCTGCAGTGTCCACCTCCTAATCCTTGGGGCCTGTGAACTCGCGACCCTACGCAACTGAAGGGACTCTGTGGATATGACTGAAGCTGGATAGGACAGAAGGGATTTTTCTGGTTATCCAGGTGAGATCAATTTAATCACATGCGTTTTTAAAATTGGGGAATCTTTCCCAGCTGAACCAGAAAAACATACGACAACAGAAGAAGAGCCAAAGAGATGTGACACTGGTGACTTTGCAGGCATTGGAAGGGGCCGCGAGCCAATGGTGGCCTCTACAAGCCGGAAAGGGCAAGAAATGGAGCTGCTCTAAGAGCCCCCAGAAGGAACAAAGCCCTCTGACACCTTAATTTTAGCTCAGAGAGATTGTGTCTGGCTTCTCACCTCCCAAAGGCTAAGATTAAAACACTATTGCTCTGAGCCACTGGGCCTGGGTACTTGGTTACAGTAGCACTAGAGAGCTAGGACAGATTCAGAAAGACCAAAGTGCACGTCCCTTCTCCACTTCTTTCTTCCGGGGCCACACTAATCTGATTCTCTGTCTTCTCATCTATAAAAGAATAGGAACATCACTGGGAAGGTTACTATAAGAATTAAAGCTAATAGACCATCGAGCCCTCTATTAAGGGCCTAATAACCACCAAGCATTCAATCCCATACTCCGACCTACTGTTTATGTCACGTGTGTGCTAAGCGTCATCCTTGCAAAACAGGATGACCAATTTGGGCTGAGGTCTTTGAAAACATATATGAGAAACCAACACAGACAGTAGACATACTGCCCTGTTTCGATTGCTAAAAAGTAGTGGCTAGGGGAACCAGCAGTTAGCGTAATGGCTATGTCGCTGGACTCCCACGTAGTCGACCACGGTTCGCATCCTGGACCCGGTGGCTTAAAACTCACGCCGGACGCATGTGCGTGCGTGCCCAAGATCCCGAGAGGAGAATGGAGGAGAAGGGATTGCGGCGTGATCGTCCCCCCGGGGGGTGATTTCTCGCTTTCTGTCTCTCTGTCTCTCTCTGTCTATCTGGCGAGCGCACGCGCCCTACAGTGAAAATCTCTCAAAAAAAACAAAACAAAAAGTAGTGGCTAGGAGAGACCTAGCTAGGCAAACTGAAATCTTTACCTACATCTCGGGCAGCAAAGTCCAGAAATAAAGGGGAAGAGGGTGTCTGGGCAAAGTCTTTTGGAATGCTGGGAATCCCAGCCCCACCACAGAAGACAGGTGATGGTTGTCTCCCCCTCATCCCACGCCTTCTGAAAAGAACTGGTTCCACTTAGGAAGCGTAATAAATGAATGTCCCCTGCAATTTGGAAGTATGATATATGGGTCCTGATGCCCGTACAGACACTTTATAGGTGGGAAAGGAACTGAATAGCCATTAGAATTTTAAAAAGAAAAAATTTTTTAAAGGTTGGGGTCGGGGAGCTGTTGGTTGGCTTGCTCTATCAGAGACATCAAGAAAATAATTCCAGAAGGTTTCATTTGCATCAGACGTGGGCCCATGAGAGAGCGAGCATGGGCACACAGACACCCGAGGGCTTCTCAGCCCCTGCCCAAGAAGACCCCCTGGAGGAACCAACAGGCCTTAGTAGAGAAGGCTTTCCTTCTCCACTCCCAGATTCAGGGGCTGAGGGGGAATAGGTGATCGGCTGGGGCGGAGACAGATCTATGTTTATCAAGTGTGAAATCCACAGCCAGCAAAGGCGCTCGTGAAAGGAAACACTGGTTCGGCCCCAAGAATACAACTTCAAGCTCACAGCAATGCCAGGCACATAAGAACTCGTGTGTTCCCCTTTCCCTCTCTGCATTTCAATTCTTGGAGGAGCCAGAAATGAGGAATGCAAACTAAGGACGGAGAAGCGCAAAGTGGGGAAGGGAAGAAGCAGCCATTGTGCCCCCTTTATTCTTACCCGTATCAGGCCCCAAGGAGCACAGTTCAGATGGAAGCCAAGCCTACAGCCTTGACTGCACATGACTGGCTGCAGCACTGCTGAACTGGGGCCCTTCGTCTGACCCAAGACGAGCCTGAAAATCAAGGTCCGCTTGCATTTTCAGCCGGGGCAAAAGAACTAATCCAAATGAGCGAATGTGACGGGACAGAGGGAAACAGAGAAATTGCTCTAAGATTGCCGTCCATGTGAAGCAGGC